ATCAGGTAATCATGACTCAGCGAACCAACTACTTCTTAAAATCAATCAAATCCACCCAAATATCAAATTTACCATGGAACTAGAATCTTCTCAAGCCATTAATTTTCTAGATTTATCTATTACCAGACTCAACAACCAATTTAACTTTGGTATCTTTCGCAAGCCTACCCAAACAGATCATGTTATTCATTCTTCATCCAATCACCCATTAGCACATAAATTAGCTGCTTTCAGAAGTTTCATCCATAGATTATATTCAATACCTATGTCCATTGACTCATTTAACAAAGAACTTAACATCATAAAACAGATAGCGGTCAACAATGGTTATGATCCTTTCATAATAGATAAACTCATCCACAAAAGAGAATCTAGATTACTTCAAAATTCTGCTTTTAATCAATCTTCCTCTTCTACTTCAATCTACAGGTCTCTACCATTTCACAATCCCAAACTATCTGAAAACATTAAACGTATTATCACTAACTCATCAGAAAACTTACACATATCTTTCAAAGTTGGAAATACTCTTAACCACTTGTTGACAAACACTAAAGATCCAATACCATACATGAACCGTAGTGGAGTTTACAGACTGACTTGTGCTGATTGTGATGCCTCTTACATTGGCAGGACTTTTAGGTCACTTGCAACCAGATCTGCAGAACACTCTAAAAGAGATAATACATCAGCTTTCTCCCATCACCTTAAAGTCAACAACCACCATTTTAACATCCCTGATGGTGTCAAATTAATTCATAATATTCGGGAAAAAAAAATACTTTACGTTTAGACCTGTATGAGGACCTTGAGATATCCAGAGACATGAAGACTAGCCCCAATTGTGTCAACCGCCAAACTACCCTCAATAGACCTTTTAATCCTATACACCGACAATTATTCCCTTAATTTTAATCAACTTTCCAGTTATTACTTTAAATTTCATCTAGTTATCTCCTCTTTTTCTCTTTTCCCAACCACCCTACTAGCATCTAACATTTTAAAATTTCCTTATTAATCACCCACTAACTATACCATACTCAACAATTTTCCACCCCCTCACTGCCAATTTTCTATTCATTATACTCCATGATAGTCACATACCAATCGATTTCTCACCCACTCATTAACCTTCTTTCTATCCATCATATGACCTTCTTTGATATCATCTTATCCCATGATAGTTTCTTTTTCTTGTCATCCTTTTGAATCTCTTTTATGACTCTTCTGACTTTTCACACCTTCTCTCCTCATGTCTCTCACTTCTTGGGGTCCCCTTACTTTTTGGTTACCTTTTCAATACTTTTCATCATCATTATTAACTTCAAATATTAACTTTACACTCAAACTCCACAACCTCATTCTTACTCCACCATCCATCAACACACATCCCTCTGACACTTTCAGTCTGTGGATCCCACTACCACTCATAATTCTTATTTCACTCAATCAACTCAGACATGCAGTCAATTTAATCGTCTTACAGCCAACCCTACATTAATCTCTATATTTCAATTTTCTCTAATACATATTCACACACATCTAACAGGTTACATTTTCTCTCCTACATTAAATTTCATTCACTTATTCTCAGCTTCATATATATATTTGTATATATGTGTGTATATATACATACATACTATTAGAATATTCATTTTACTAATCAAACAAAAATAATTTTTAAAACATCTGATAATTACACAGGTCTTTTACCATTGCTAGGCAACCACCTTTACACAATATATAAATAATAATTCTCACTTCCATATCATTGGATTTTAACTTAATTTTTTCAGTTATAATAATTTTATACAGTTCATATACTTACATTTGTACTGTACCACATCAATACCCTTCTTCTTCTACTACATTCAACATTTTATCATCACTTATGATGTCATAAATTTCAACCTTTTATACTAATCCCATTAAATTGATAGTTTAATTTCAATAATATAGATTCACTGATCTAAGCAATAGATTTTATCATAAACAAATCTAAATGTTAAAGTCAGGTTCATTAATAAGTTATTATTCATTACTACAAGTAAACAAATTTTATAATTTCACAAATTAAAAATTACATTAATTTCGGAACATACTGAAATCCTGTCAAGTTTAGCTGTCTTTAAGTTATCTCCTGTGACATCAGACATTTGGTCTGTGTCGTCGCTTCAACTGACAACGTGCAAGTACTCGAGCTTAGGAGACATGTAGTCCCTAAAGTAATAAATTTTAAATACATCCATTGTCATCGACCTACAGTATCAACATTACCTAATGTAAAATGTGACACTTTACCAAATCAAACATGGTAGTCTTATAGACACCATATTTATATAGTTAGCTACAAATACGAGGCACTGAAGATGATCCGTAGTGATCGAAAACGTTCTGCCAGAACTTTAAATGTGACGACACTTTTTAAAAAGTTTTAACTTGTTTGTTTTATACCTAAATACACATTTGTGAAGTGTTTTAACTTCTGTGTTTTTTTTTTTTTAAACTTATTACCTTTTGCAAATCACCAGCTACAATAATCTCATCATCTCGTTTTATTTTCTCTGCATCTTTCTGGTAATTTTTTCTGGCGTTTAACGCTTTTATCTTATGAATTTTCCATTTTTTGCACAAATCACATTTAGCAAGATTTTCTTCATCAGCTTCATGAGATGTGGCTTTTTTGTGTATTTCAAATGCTTCCAATCCCAGCACTCTTCATTTCCTAGATTGGCAAAGGATATATTTAGGTCATTAGACACAATTTTTCTGTATAATTCGTAAGAAAAATCTGTATTTGGATATTTTAATCTAAAATCTTTGTACATGAGTGTAATGTTTACATCACTGGGAAGGTATTTTCTATTAGGAGCGTGCTTTCTTCTGTAATGCGATATCGTTGGGTTGAATGAATTAATATGTTCAATAATTGTGTTTCTGTCATCGAGCAAAAAGATAAAAGAGGGAATGTAAAGGTAGTGGGGACAAAAATATTGTTAGACAGGAAGTGCTATCTTGAGAGGCCACTTTAAACAAGGAAAGACAGTCTCTTTCCTTGTTTAAGAAGTCAAATTTAGTTTGGTTATGTTATTGTTTGTCCCAACTGTCACATGAAATTTTATTTATATTGAAGTTTTTTACCAATTGTGTCACTTTTTAGACTATTATCGTTAATATTTAATTAAAACTTTCTTGTCTGAAAAATATTTTACATCTATTGTTAACAAGTGTTGGAAAATTTAAATTTAGCGCCTTTGCATTTCCGGATATGTCCGCCATCAGAGGCCACTTTTTTGGTCTCCTTTTTATAACGATTAGATTCCCTCTTTTATCTTTTTGCTCGATGGTTTCTGTCCACTTTGCGTGCCTGTGAGCGGTTTCTCCCATCTTTTTTAGGTACTATCAATTTCAAATCTGTTTTTCGTATATTTTTCAACATTCTGTCGTTATCTTTTTCATAGCCCAATGTCGCCAAAAAAAATACCTTACAAACACGCACATCTTCGGCTTTCTCTAATGTTAGATAGTATTTGTAGGAATACACTCTTGGTGATTCTAGATTTTGAGACGTACTTCTTTTTTTCTCACTTTGTTTTACACAGCTAAAAACAAACTGTTTTTGTTGTTCTTTTTCTAATAGCCAGTATTGTTTATTAATATCTTTTTGTCTAGAATACGAAATGTTTTTTGCGCAATTGAATTTGCATTTACATGGCTTTTTAACTTCATGAGCTCTTATGTAACTCTCTCTTTTTTGTTTTTTCCTTTCAACAAGTGGCTCTTCAAATTTTTTCCTTTTTCTTATTTCCCCAGTTTTTGTATACAATTTACTCTCAGCTTTATCAACTGCTTTGTTTATAATGTTGAGATGTAAAACAATATCTCTAATGAAATCACGAACCAAGTAAAATTCTTTTTCTGCTGGTTCTATATCTGATAGGTTTTCCTTGTGTTCTTCTAATTCGATATTTGAATACCTTGAATTACTTAATGCTACCTGATTAGAACTTGCAGGGGCTAGTAATACATTGGACAGTATCTGTATGTTTTTACTGGGGGAAATAATTTGTTTAGATTCGTAACTAGAATTCGACTCGCTTCCATTTATATTATTGTCGGATTCATTGAAAGGCCCAGGTGCATAATATGGATCATTATCAGGTTTGGCTATATTTATTTTTTGTTTGAGCTGGTTATTTAGAGCAAGAAATACCATACGTTTACACCTATTGCTGTTCCAGCTAAGTGACGCTGCATTTTTACTACTACAAACCATAATTATAATCAGTTATTGCTTATACGTAAAGTAACATTATTAAACGTACCCTTCCTCCATTTCTCACAATATATATTTGCTTAAAATGCAAAAAACACGAGAATATACAAAATGTCTGACAATAACAAATACTTTTTATAATTAATTATTTGAGGTTATGTTTTCTGTCATACTACGCAAAATTGTCCTAACTGATGCCGCTTAGTATAAAATGCTAGCTTAAATAGTCCTAACTGCATTTTTAAAGTTAGAACGGACTATTTTTCTTAGCATATGTAAGATAGGACAATTTATGTTAGTGAACATGACATTTTAGTCAGTTAGGACAAACCATTTATATATAAAATCAGGCACTTAAGACGCTTATACGGCAAATTCATTTTGTATATACATAGATAATATGTTTACGCATACCGTGAGCCAATAAAGTCAATTCTAAAGTCAATCTTGGGACGGCAGAGATACCTTTCTTATATTAATGGACGTGTTGAGCGCGCTAAGATGCTGTACAATACTTGCAGTTCTAAGTAAAGAATAGGGCAAGCCATTACTCACCCTTTTCATAAAATTATCAGGTGATCTCAGTAAAATAATCATACTGTCTCTCAATGACCACCAAAGCATCGAAGTAGAGATAATAATTTAAGCATTATACGATCTACGTTTGAACGTGGGGATCCAAGCGTAAACAAAATAATATATATTAATTTTTTGATTGTTTCAGATTAATGCAATGGCCAATAGAGCTGCAGGTAAAGGTTATGAAAACGAAGCCTTTTACGAAAATATAAAATTTCACTTTTTGGGAATTGAAAATATACATGTTATGAGGAACAGTCTCTCTAAGGTTGTTGAAAGTAAGTAAAATATTTACCTTTTGCTTTTTTTAGTGCAGCAGTCTACAGGTTTACCGCTTTACTGAATTGATACAAAGTTTTTATTTTCTTAGAAATATAATTACTAAATCGTTTTAATTTTAAGCTTGCGAACAAAGAAATCCCACAATGGCGAGCTTCCTTAGCGGCCTCGAATCCAGTGGCTGGTTAAGACACATTAAATCCATATTGGATACATCCCTGTTTATAGCTGAGGCTCTTCTGGAAGGTATAAGTGTTTTAGTGCATTGCTCAGATGGATGGGATAGAACGGCTCAAGTGTGTTCGCTTGCCACAGTTTTATTGGATCCATTTTATAGGACAATTTCTGGTTATCAGGTGAGTAAACCATCTATTAGGGAAATAGTTAGGCTTCATCTATCTATTTTTTGATAGAAACATTGAGAATGATATGAGAACCATTTCCGAAGTGGAAATAAACTTACTTTAATCTTCAATTGTGGCTTATTCTCATTAAAATAGTAATTCAACTGTCTAGTAGTAAAATTGAAGTATGATTTAAAAATTTACAACTCTTTATCTTGTATTTTGCAGACTTTGATCGAAAAAGACTGGTTAGCTTTTGGTCACAAGTTTTCCGAGAGGTGTGGTCACATTCAGACGGAAAACAAAGAGATATCACCTATTTTTACGCAACTTTTGGACGCCACATGGCAGTTGATGCAACAGTTTCCCATGTCGTTTCAATTTAACGAGACATTTTTATTTACGTTGCACGACCACGTGCACTCATGCCAATTTGGAACTTTCGTTGGAAATTGTGAAAAAGATAGACTGGAATGGAGGTAAGTGGAAGTTGTACAAATATAAAGTTAAAAAACGTGTAATTTATATTTTGAAGCGGAGCTTCTATACTTGCCTTGTATTTTTTCTCTATGGTGAAATGCTGATGCGATCGTCGCGAAATTAGTTGGAAGAGTCCATTTACTCAAAGAGAGAAGTCCGTTGTACAACTTTTTTAATTTTATTAAAATATATAATAAAGATATTAACAAACAGCGGTTTTATCTACATTCGAAAGTACAAAAAATTGTTAAAATAAATAAATGAACTTTGTTAATGGATAATTGTAAAAAAATTCAATTTTAAAAATATTATTTAAAATTTAAAAATACAGAAAACATAGTATGAAGCTTCGCGAGATTCTACTGTACCGAATGCTGTACAACCTTTTTTTTTTTATTTTAAATATTTTAGCAGTTATTTGATTTTAAATTAATTATGATTATTTTGTATGTTTCCATTTTTGTTATTTTATTTGACTAATGTGTATTCCCTTTGTCTTATTTTTTACGAAGCGACTACAGGGCATGCCGTGTCAGTTAATTTCTGGTCCCATCAATATATTGTTTATTCTCTACATACGTTTTTCTCTGAAGTTTTATTTTCATTTGTTACTATTCTTTATTACTCATCTGATTTTATTCTTGCAGTGTTTCTAAGATATCGTTTTATAACATTTTATGGGCTTTGTTTTTCCATTTGGTTATATTTGGAATCCTTGCGACAGGAAAACCAAAAGAATTATGGCTGACAATTTTAGTCCAATTCGTGCCTCACCAGTCTCTTATATGTATTTCCAAGTCAACCCTTCATCAGAGACTTGTGAACACTGAAACGAACTGATACACAGTGTCTAGCTGGCAATTACAGTAACATAATACACCAGTATACACTAATAGCGACCTCTATATGTGGAAACATGAAGTCAGGACTCTTCTCATCGATGCTGATATAAGTAACCTGTAAATTCAAGCCTATTATAAAGCTAACTGTCGATGTTAGGAATATCTTTGTTCCACCAATACATCTACAGTTTACCCATGCAAATCACCATCATTTTTGTACTCTTTTCAGTAAAAATGTATTCAGGAGGGCTAGAGTAAGGCCCGGCGCAAATTGAGCACAGCCCACGCACATCCCACGCGCAGCCCACGCGTGTGTTATTTTGTAAAACGTGGTTTTAGACGCCTAGACGGAGCAACGCATATTAAACCCAAACCACGGCCAGGCTACTGTGCTAGACTTGGTTGGCGTGGATAGAGTTGTGCTAGCGACACAGTTTCGTGGGTCGTGGGTCTCTACCTAACCTTAGTTATTTTGTTTTGTATGACCAATTTTTTGTTATTCAGTGAAATTGAAAAAGTTTATTGAAATTGTTCGAAGCTTTAGTGTCTTGTATGATACTAGTAATGAAGATTACATGAGAACAAAACTAATATTTTCTTTATTTGTGCTAAGCAACTCGGATGTAAGTCGCCGTTATAATTATTCAAAAAATAATAATTTAAATTAATTTTTTATTAAATCAAATGAGAAATATAACAAATCGAGAACTAAGGAAAAAAACAAATTTTCATTTCCTAGCAAAATGTTTATGAACACCTAAGATGAAAACTTCAAAATAAAATTTGATGGTACTTTTTCGTGATGCTCATATTGTAATGGCTTTTATACACTGAAATTAAATTAAAAAAGAACATGAAGAATGTAGAAAAATAATAGAAAATTCTCAAATTTAAATTTATCTCGAAAACAAAATACGATCTGGAATTTTTGTATTTTTTTAGCTCTTCTGTTGTTTATTACGTTATTTCACTTATTTCAACAATACTGTGTAAAATCTGCCTGGTATGCTAATTAGTAATTAGAAAGTCAATATCGGCAAAACCAGCTTATTCAAATTATGGGTATCTACCTGTTATAGTCTTTTGTTGAAGGATTTCAATTTTTTACCCTTAGCATTTGTGAAAGTTTTCAAGATATTTATATTTTCAGATTAGAAATTGTTGGTGGGGTATTAGGTAAAAATTAAAAGGTCTTTAGAAAATAAAATCTTTATTTAAACTAATATACTGAAGAGAGTCTATATTTTCGTTGAATGGTATTTGCGAAAACAATCTCCTATGCATAGTCCAGCTTTTTCGTCACAATCAGCACACTCGTAAATTGTGTTTTTCCTAATTTTATGAATAGAACATATTCTACACAAATATTTGACATGGGCGTGGGCTGTGTTCAATAGTATTGAAAAACGTGTACTTGGACTAGGTTAGACCATACGTGGGCTGCGCGTGGGATGTGCGTGGGCTGTGCTCAATTTGCGCCGGGCCTAAGAGCATACAAGACAGTGGTAAGGTCTATAGTTTTTATGGTACTGAAACATGGACAATTAGTAAATCTGAACAAGTCTCGGAAAGGAAGATCCTTAGAAAAATATGAATGGAATTATTATGGAAGGTATGAGTATGAGAGACCTAAAATCAGATGGTAAAAGGAGGTTAAAAAACATATACCAAATGTTAAAATCAGAAACATAATCAGTCAAAATAAAGAAAGAACTAGGAAAGACTGTAAAAAGATAATATAGGCAATTGGCCACTTAGGTCTGTGTTGTCTATTTTTAATAATTTGTATTATCATGCCAGAAATAATATGTTCTAATTATACATAAAAGATAAAAAATGTTTCTCAGAGACCGACATGTCAAATTGTGGCATGTATTTTAAAAATGACATTTACCAATATTTTTCTTTGCTAATATAGTAATAAAACAATATTTTAGGTATTTTTTGATAAAATTTAATAACAATTTTCCAAAAAGAAAAAAAAAGTAAAACGAAAAATATATTTTCTCTGAGAGCCGAACTCGATAAAACATAAAATAAAACTCTGTGCTTGAATTAAAATATTAATATACAATTAACTAAACGTTTCTAAAAGCTTAGGAATTAACATGGAAATATGGAAATCATAAAAGCTCTTTGGTGAAATTAAATTTTTGTTGTTGAAGTTATTCAAAAATTTTCCACACATTCGGTACAAATAGATGTCAAGTGTTCCACACACATGACTTTTTCGTATTTATGGCAGCTGAGTCTTGTTTTCCTGTTTTTTTTTTTTAATGAATAGTAAAAACAACTACCAAATGTAGACATATTTGAGGCTTTCTCATTGTCGGAAATATACATCTCATTTATTCTTAGTTTTATTGTTCTTTGTTGAAGTCTAGGAGATGTTAGACAGTTTTTCACGTGGCTTTCAAAGAGTTGATACCCAACATTTTCGATAAAAAACCTTCTTGGCATAAATTTTTGTATATAATGTAAATTCAACGTACATTTTTTATATTCCAATACAAGTAACACAAAAGCTAACACTGGCCAAAAACACTGATAACTCAAAACGCGTAAATGCTTTGTCGCTATCTATGCGATACTGAAGAAATGTGTGTTAGTCTTGAGGATACCCTCAAGGCTAACACACATGTGTGAGTTCTTAAAATCTAGCCGATAATTATTATCGATGGTCTCACAGACCGATTGTACTTTTTGAGTTTGTAATTCTGATTGTGTTTAAAACTTATTTCAGTGATATAGTATGAACGAAAAATTGTTGAAAATTGCGTAAATAATATTTTTATAAATTTCTTTTTGTTAGGTTGTCTGAGAGAACGTTTTCACTCTGGGGATATATGGCCAATCATCTGAACGAGTACATAAATCCTTTATATAGTGCCGAAGAGAGTCCGGAAATACTTTTGCCAAATTTAATACCACAAAATATCAAGTAAGTCGTCCTTTTCTTATTAAAAATAATATAACTACTTTGTTGTTTTACGAAACTCTTGAAATATTAATAAATATTATTTTTTAGGTTTTGGAGAAGTATGTATTGCAGATTTGAAAGCGGTGTTCATCCTAGAGAACCTCAAGCAGATTTGCTGTTAGTTACCTCCGATTACGCATTTTCACTAGATGAGCATGTTAAATATTTAACCAAGGTAATTTTAATTTTATGATACCGAGGATCGGTATTACATAAAATTCTATAAATGTACCATAAGATTAGGTATATTGTACGACATGTTACTTACAGTCCATTCAATTTACTTACCGTTGCATATCATTATCAGTGACAGAGATCAAGTTGACATAATTGCCAAAGTATAAAAAAGTCCTGAATATATTTTAAATCAAATAGGTCACATAATGATTGAATTAAAATTCAAAATAATAAAGTACAAAAAGTGTCAACACCGCAACTGTCAAATAAGTGTCACCAATGTATGCCAAAATATCACCTTCGTTCGATTACAGTTACAGTGTGTTTCCGAACAAATGTTCTTTATAAAAACACTTTAGAATGCATTTATACAAATTAAATGAAACATATTATTGTGTATTTCGTTAAGTTACCATTAATAGAAATATTTAAATATTATTTCTACGCGTAAATAATAAAATATGTCTAGTGGCTGTAATGCCAGTGTACTCGGCAAAGTGATTCTAAAAAAGAACACACCTACCGCCTAAATATTTCGTGTTGGTATCATGTGACCTCACGGACTATGACGCGGGTGACGTGCAACGGTAAGTAAATTAGATGAAGTATAAGGGATTGATATTGGTATTATAGTGAACTGTACTTAGAGAAACTGACTCCTAATAGCAATTAAGACAAAGAGAATGATGATGATTAATTAATGAAACCTAGTAGTTTAAACGAAAACTGTAGTAGAGATTGGAGCGATTGGACGAGGGAAAATTTTGCTGATCAGGAGAAAAAAGTTTGCTTTCTTTGGTCCTCAGTGACAAAAAAACGTCATCCTTTTATAATTGCCGTTAGGTTTGACAGGTGGGCACGTATGACAGGCGGGTTTTTTTCCGTCTGTCAAAAAATAAAAAATGTTTGTTTTAGTAAAGATTTCCTAATATTTTACTAATTTTTGCAAAAAAAAATTGTAAAAAACTTGATGATTTTCAAAGAAATGTTTATAATTTGTAAAAATAATCTGTATTGTGCACATAACAAAACTGTCATTGCATACTAATCGCTGTGAAAAATAATACAGATTTTAAATGGAAAATACATAGAAATTAATGTTGAGCTCCGAATAATATGGAATTCACTAATATCAACCATGTTAATATTTTGTCATTTATTTACAGAGACTATCATCTGTGAAATCCCTTATAACTCGAACCGTTGAAAAGAAAAAGAACAAACCAAAACGAGATCAACTTTGCAATAACGTTTACTTGGATAACAAAACTCAATATGAAAAAAAAGCTTCCAGAGAAATGGAAAGTGCCGATCAAGATCATCCGCTAAAGAATCAACATAAGGTATCAGAAGAACTTTTGGATATGGATCTTCTAGCCAAAGAAGTAGACTCTGTAGCGGTTGATTGGAAACCATTGAGAAATGCCACGGAGTGTAGTTGTTCGCTGTCGCTCGATCAAATTAGTAAAAAGGTTTGTTGCTATTCTAAAATATATTTTACTATTGGGAATCCATTTATTTTCAAATCATTCTTTGGATTGCTGAATATAAGTTCAATATAAAGTTTTTTTATTAAGGCAGGGAGATGACCACAAAACACTGCTCTACGAAAAAGAATAGGGTTTTCTTCACATCATGAGCCAAATATTGCTGATTTTGTGTTCAGAAAAACGAATATGATAAGGGAATTATTTTAATTTAATTGTTTTATTAGCTTTGGTTTCTATTATATACAAGAAATATATAGTGTATGCTATCTTATAAACATTGAGATAAAAAAAAACTAGTATTTGTTTATATGGTCATCTGCTGAAGCCGGGATCTGGCAGATAGTGGACCGGCGTTCTTCATCTGCGAAGAGAAATATAAAATACGTAATAGAAAAAAAAAAACAAAATCTAAAGCCGGAACCAACGCAACATAGAATACTGTTTCCCCCTCAAAATTTCTGGTTTACGATCCATGAGATAGGACAATACTGCCTATTTATGGTCGGCGCGGATAGTCCCGTCGTTTGTTGGTAAATCGACACGGTTCAAAGGAAGGTTGGTAGCTGATGTATAATACATACTTACCCCTCCTATACTTTCGACGCAACTAGTGGACAAAACTAATCTAAACCCTCGACCTTGAGGGGATATACCCCATTGGGGTAGTTATGAAAAAGTAATTATTTATTAATTTCACAGTAACGTTGGCTTCGTTTATTAGGCTTGTATCTTGTGAGTTCCGGGGCATCTCTAGATACAAGCCATCAGTAATCTGCAGTTTAGTTTCGTTCTAACGACCTTGGTACCTTTTTTCGATTACTGAAATGTCCCTATGAAATTTTTCTTCGTACTAATTACTCACAGCTCAACAATTATGGAAAAAAATCGAAGTAGGAATTGAAAAAGTGGATTTTAAGGGACATATTACAGAGTTTACAAAATTTGTCCAATAATACTTTCACTGAATTAGGGTAGATAGGGTTTGTTACTTCTTTATTACCCTTCACTTAATGAAGGAAATTTGTCTCTTTCACCAAAAGTCTCACCAAACGCAGCTTAATATGTAACTGAAGTAAAATATCTTTTAGGTTCACTACAAGCTGTGCAACGGCATTCTTTTCCTTAGAGTTAAGCTTTCTTGCAAGCCAGTCTACTTTATAATGTCCTTTCATAAATCTGCTGTCCCATATACAGGATTTTCGTGAACATTTTAAACTATGTAAAGGAATAAGAAGGACTACAATAGGTTTCTATTCATATAGTAAGTTATAATTAGAGCCAAAGAATGGAATCTCTTATCCATTGAATGGATAATGTGATCGATTGGGAAAAACAATATCTAGAGTTGGAGAATTTTTATTTGCCCACCATTTGTTTGTTAGATTTTCAACAGAGAGACTTTATTTTTTGTAACAAGCTGTTTCGATTATTAAACTGGCATTTAAGAATAATTTTTTCTGCCAAAGTAGACGTCTTAAATGTAAAGGTGGCTCGTTACATTCTAGGACGAACCTTAAGGCTTTGTATTGTATTCGATCAAATTTAGTGAAATGAGGTTTTATCGCTGATCCATAAAAAAGCATCCATAGTCCAAAGTTGATCTGGTATATGCTCTGTAAAATAATGTAAAAGTTTATTTGATACAATCGTATAGATTAACGGCCTTAGGGATATTGAGGCTTTTTTCACACTTTTTAATGCAATTATTATGCTCATTCCAGGTTAATTTGGAATCTAAGGTAACACCTAGGTAGGTAAAACTGTTTAGTAGTGAGAATTTTAAAGTACTAAATTTTGGTAACCTGTGTTTCGAAAAAATACAAAAGTGTTTATATTTAATAATTTGTTTTATATTTGGGTATGTTTAACATGCATTTGCATATTTAGGCAAATTTAAAACCAATAACTGCATATTTTTATTAAAGGTAATGCATATATAAGATATATTTAGGTAATGTTGTGTTGCATATATTCCACTCTCTTGTTATGAAGGTTTCTGTGGACACAATACTACTGGCAAGAAATCTAGGATATTTGCTGAAAAAATTTGCAATGCATACGAATTAAAAATGGAAAACTAAAATGATAATATTTATCATCTAATCATTCAAGGAAAAATAAAGGTAAAAAAGTGTGTGACACAAGGAGAACATAACATAGTGGCTAAAAACTGCAGCAAATAAATTAATATTTAATTATTCGATATGCAAAGTAATTTATCAACAATTACTTCTCTTCACTGTTTTCAATACATAAAAATATAGATAGTGTTAATTCTTGTTAGTGACCCCTGTTCCCCTTAGAAGTACTAATGCCTAAACTAATATCGATGTATTTCACGTTTTAGATGCACTGTCGGAAATGTGGAGATATCTTCTGCCAACGTTGCATAACCAAAAAAGTCGCTCTTCCCGGACATTTGTCACAGACGCCAGTACCTGTTTGTAAGCCTTGCTTTGATACCGTCACATCACCAGCACACACTTAGCATATAGACTACTAATGAGATGATAAGAAGAATTGTGATTTAGTTGTTGGTATTTAGATTGCATGTTAGTTTCACTTTCAAGAAGACATTACATTTCTCTATTCACAGCTGAAGTAAAAATATATTGGCTGAAAAAACAGAACTTTGATTAAATAAATCTAACTTAAAAGCAGATGCTTTGTAGATCTGTAAATGTTGGTGCAATGTAATGATTTCTTTGCTAATCAAACAGGGAATATTTATTAAATGTATATTCAAAATGACTTATAAGTATTTACACATGACTGAAACGTTAGTATTTTATATTCGGGTCTTTCAACATTTTTGTTGAAAAAAATATTTTGCACAATTTTAATGGAATTTGTAACAGTTCTTCAAAGTTATGGGTACAGTTAAGACGAGTTTTTTCACATAGTTTTCCTAATTTGCTTAGATATATCTAAGTTTTTTATTGATGTATTATATTTCAGGTAAATTATGTTACTAATAATGTTTGACAACATTTGTTTCAAATGTTGTCAAAACTTTCAAACGTTATCCATCAAACGCCATCTATCAAACGTCAACTGCCAACAGTCATGTCTTCTGAATCTTCCCTTTAACGCAATTCCTAAAAACACTTACAAGTCGTTAAATATTGGACCTACTTTTCAATCCCATTTATATTTAGAAAAGTGTCAATGACAGCTTTGAAACAAGCGAATTGTATATATTCAGTATTTTTCTAATCTTTTCGTCAATCGTACCGAGGTAGGCAACCTCAGTATCTCTATTTGATGAACCCAATATATAAAATTGATATGGTTATCTTACAATTTTACTAGTCTCGAAATATAATAATTTTAAACAGTTATTTACGAATGTAATATACGTTTGATTATTCCCTGCTATTATGCACTTTTTAAACAATATGTAATATATGATCTATATTTAATTCTTATTTTATTTTTTGAGATGTACGTTATATAATATTCATAGTTGGTCCTCTGGATCTTTGTGCAAAAGTCATCATTTATATTTATACGAATTATTAAAACATTTATATCAATGTCAAACATATGACAAGGTAACAATTACCAAAGGTAAATTTAGAGGTTAGAAAAGTCATTTCTCACTTTAGTTCAGAAAATATTGCTTATAAACATATAATTACTCCAAGACATGCAACATAATAAGGTAATAGCTGTTATAACAAATCTTCTGGAAAACAATTATAAATATAAGGTGCAAAATTGGATAGAAAATATAATTAACACGAAAATTACTTGCAAACATACTACAAATGTGCTGTCACTTGTCGTGTACAAAACTCTAGATTGCCACTAGGTGGATTTGCCAGTTTCCGTCGTCATATTGATGTCTTTGTATGTTGTATATGAATACGCGGCTTAATTTCATGATCTTAGCTTCTGTTACTAGAAAAAAGTACCTAATAATTCGTGAATAATCTCATACTTGTGCAAAAATACAAAAGACAAACTATATTAAAAATATGCTTTTCGACTATTTCGCTGGAAGCCGTTATATTCCTAGTTATCTGCATAAATGGTGATATTTTTTATTTTTGTAATTAGTGAACATTTTGCGGGTAATGAATTAAATATAGATCTTTTATTAATTCTCAAGTGGCAAAACTGTATATATAAAGCAGTCTATATCCAAGGCTAAAATATGCTACATGCAACATTACATGTATAAGTGATATGTAAGATTTACTTTTGTTATTCATTTTTATTACCATACAAACAAATTTTGACCATTTTCTACAAATTATTTACTGATAAACGTTGTATAATAGACGAGTAGAAAGGAGTTTGATACATATTACTTAAATTTTCTATCTGGAATTCCGTGTTTTCGTTTGTTAATGCAACGAATAAATACATGATACAATATGTTCATTTTGGATGGAAACAAAAATAAAAACAGTTTTAAATACTTTATGACGCCTCTAAAACCATCCATTGGAAAGTCTGAAAGAAGGTGAACTTACAAATTTTGTAAAGTTCTTCTTCCTCCGCTTTTCCTTTTTATGGGTCACTGGACTTCTTCTTCTTCGTCACTCATTTATGACCATCCTGTCTTTTTTATTTAAGCTACTCTTCCGTCTAGAATCCTTAAAATGGCAAATTTTCAACAATGTTTTTGGTATCTTATTTATTATAATGTGGCTTCTTTTATATTAACTTTGATCAAATAAAAGGCAAATATCGAGCACAGTTTAATTAATTTAATCTTGCCCAAGTACTTTCGCTCCCTAGAGCATCTTCAGGGGCATTTCGTCAATTGCGGCCTATCCAACCAGAATATGTTATAAACATAAAGTGGTACATCACACTACACTACACACTCTGATATCTGTCGTATTAAGATATAGCAAACTTTCTTCATTACCAATATGTATTTTTTTATTCTTCGACATATGAAAAACTCTGGGGAAATAATGGAAACAGAGAGAAAATATTAAGTGTTATGTATTCATAAAAGAAGTAAATGTAGTAGGATATAATCTTTGCAGTCTACGGATTTCTTGAAAAATATGTTTCTAGTACATTGATAGAATGCTTAAAATTAAGTTTCTATGTTTCTGTGATACATTTGTAAAAACAAAGAAATAATCATTTTGATTAATCTTGGAAGGTTTTACAACTCAAAATTTATTGTTTATAAATTGTTACTTAAGTTTTAAATGCTTTGTTAGTTGGATAGAGGGGGTTGTAGTTAATTGGACTTTATATTGGTTGTAGAATACCTCTTAAAGACTGTTTATAATCAGAATTTGAATATGTTCCACCTGAAATACGCTATTTCGTGGCGCTAGTTCCGTGACGCTCGCCTCAACATTTTACTATAGAGAGAAAAAGTAATATATCGCCAGTATAGAAGCTTAGCTTCAAAAAATTCCCAGAGCATGGAACTGAAAATTCACGAACACAAGTTTTGTAAAGTTGCTTATAGGAAATCGGAAAATTCTAAGTTTTCTGAAAATTTGGTGTAAAAATTTGAAGTTTTCTACAAAACAATCGTGTAAAGAAAAGTGCGATACCTGAGCTATACTGCGTAAAGAAAAGTAAGTTTGCCATAATAATTTTAAAATCCAGATCTGACTGAAATATTGTAAAGTTTTTAAAACTTTTCCCCTTCTATGTTATATGAATCATTGATTGTTTTACATGTAGAAGAGTATTGCCAAACCAAATTAAATAGTGAAGTTTTTAAAGGCGTTGTAAAAGTTGTATTAAGGCATTTTTGTCGCTATTAACACGGCAGAGATTGTTGAAGTTGCGCGTTGGTTGAAATAAACGAATTTGGGGAATGAAAAATTAGAGAGAATGAGAGTTCACCTAAACGTGAGTAACTCCAGTTAAAGTCGCGCCGTTACACTATCACACTGTTAAATTACGAAACATCTAACAAGAGTAATTTTAACACAAAAAAACGTGAAAAAAAAACATGTGCACTTAGCTATCTAGACAATTAAGTGTTCAGAAATAATAAATGAAAAATTACTAGTATTAATATTCTAATATAATTAATACTAAAGAAAATAAAAAAGTGTATATCTATACTAATAATTGCTAGTGCAAAGTGTATCTATTTGAGAAGAAAAAACCTCATAAAATCCCTATAACTGAATCAAACAAAAAGAGAAAATGATATCAAGAAAAAGCAAATATCAGGAAAATCAGGGATACTCACTTCTCGTTCAGGGACCCATCAGGACATTTGTTTAAGCCATTACTAACAATATGAGCAAATGAAAATTACCCACCCAGACGAACTCTATTATCGGTACCAGTGGGAAATAGGAGTAGAGGCAGACCACGACTGAGATGGAGGGACGCTGTGGACGAGGACGCAAGGAAAATCGGCGCGGCAAATTGGCAACGGTTGGCGATGAACAGAAACGACTGGGGAAGGTCAAGGCTCAACTAGAGCTGTAGCACCACTGATGATGATGATTACTAACAATAGGTCACGGAAAGAAAGGTAAAATAACAATTTGGTTAAAATAAAGGTTAACGAGCTTAGCTAAGATTGACTACAGGCAAAAATTTGCACTATGTATAAATTTAATCAGCCAATCATAGACTTTTTTATTATTAGTAGCCAATAGGTTATTTCTTTGATATGGAGGAAATATTTGCAGAGTTTGCAAGTTGTTTCAACGAGTTCCTGAATGCTGAAGATATTTGTAACACTTACAAAAGATATGGTTAAGAGCTCCCTGTTCTTGACAAGTTTCGCATAAGTCTGAATTGTATATTTTGATTTATGCAAGATGAACAGGATAAGTGAATGACATATTATAGTACCAGAATGATGATGTTTATGACAACTATTGACATTTATTAGTGTTTTAAATTTTTAAAACCTAGGAGGGACTTTATTTAAAATATTGCTTGTATAACCTTCCAATGATTTTAACGTATGAGGCATGTTCTCAGTATTATTTCTTAAAATTACCTGACTACACATTGTATTAACATAGCCTAAAGACTATTTTGTTTAATTATTAATAACGTCATCAATTTAATAAAAAAAAAAAAACTGTTAAAAAATAGAACTTTTACATGTAGAATGTTATTTTTTCTTTTTTGTTTTATTTTCTATGGAAAGATGCTTAAACAACGATGTCTTATCACCGTTAATGACGTCTGTCGCTGACATACTTGACCATCTTGTATTATCTTCTTTATTAAGTGTTTTCCTGACTATCGACGCCTCCATTTATTTCCATGTTTTTTGCCGTCTATACCCAGATTTCTTGATACATGCTCAGTCCATTCTCATTTATTTTCCGTACGGTTGTATTGATGTCTTCCATTTTGAATATTCGCCTGATCCATATGGATTTCTTATCTTTTTTCTCATATTTTTTTCTTAGTTGTAATTCCTTCGATTCTGCTCTTCATTTTAATGTTTTTTCCGAATACACTGCAAGTATTTCTGATTTTTGTATTCTAAGTCCGCCACCTGTATGTCTTTTTTTACTGGGATTTCCTTTCCCTTGGTAAACATATTTATATTAGAAGAAAGCTGTCGGTTAGGATAGACTATTATATTTTCCTCTTTGGTGCCTCGATCCTGACTTACCGCCACTTGATTATCTGCGAGATCTTAGAAAATTGTTCATCATCGCTGTTGACTTCTTTGTGTTCTTGATCAACTGAATCAGTCTCAAAGTGTTGTCGCTGTCGTCATCAGGGTCAAAAGGGTCCGACTCACTATTAATGTCTAAAAGATTATCGGCTAAAGATTGAAGTTCCTTTTCAGAAAGCCCTTATTTTGACATGCGGCAAACAAAACCAATGGGTTAAATATATCCCTCTTCAATATACTACTGGGACATTATTGCCCCACTAGGATCATTCCTAGGAAAATCAGAAATATTTTTAGCAAAATACTATGATGAACTGACGCCGAAGGTCCACGCAGTGTTGTCAATTCCGTTTATTTTCTTGCTTTTTTGCTAAGAATGCCACTAAAGCAAAAGCACGTTTAAATCAGGACTCATTTGTGCCAGTAAATATTTTTAAACTTTTAGTGGGATATATTTATCCCGAGGGGCCGAAAGGATTAATACCTTTGTTTTGTTCTTATTACTAGTTAATCATTTTTATTTCGATGTCTTAACATGAACTGTAATTCCTCTAGATTTTCTGCTATTAATATTACGTTCATTTAATAATCCGAGACAAAATTAATGTCAAACGTGGTCGGGATAGAAGAAAGATCTTATGGCTCAAGAATATCTGTCACTGGTATGAAGTTAGCAGCAGATCACTATTCTGAGTAGCAACAGACAAAATGAAAATCATGCAATTGTTTGTCAACATTCTAGGAGAATATGACATTGAGAAAGAATATTGTGTCGTCTGCAGATTTTACTTGATTAACTCTTTCTCAATTTCTGTTAATTATTCTATTT